GAAGTTTGGTTCAATGACTTCCAGGACAGCGGCTTTTCTAAAAAGAAAGGGAGCCTGCATTTCAGATTGAATTTGCTGTTCAGAAGCGTGACTACAAGCATGCATGAGCTGTTGTATGGTGCAGGCATATATATGTACACTTGCGCATCTAGAGAGTCATGTTGTTTCTGTGGAACACCCAAAGAAGAGAGAAAGCTAAATGTCTTTTGTTTTGCATTTCCCCCAACACACTGTTTTAAAAGCCCAAGTCCAAATTCCTGGCTTCTACTTGTAAGAGACTTTTGAAAGTCTTTTTAAGATCTTGTTTGCATGTAAATTTATTCTATTATACAGATATTCCCTAATTAATAATTTTTAAAAGGGAAAACCCACAGTTGATTTATCTTCCAGTTCAAGCACAGCACTGGAGACATCAAATCCAAGGTATGATGAACACATCTGCAAGCAAATCAAGTCCCCTACCTTGGCTTAAGACCAAGGAGGTATCAGGTTTCAGGCAAAAATGACAGCCCAAGCCAGGTGTACTCACATCTGGGATCCTACCAGCATATGGAAGACCGAGACAGGATTACCACTTTCAAGCCAGCCTGGTGAGATCAAGGCCAGCCAAAACAACTGAAACCAGGAACCAGGGCTAGTAAGACTAGTCCATACAATGTTTACTGCATAAACATAATGCCCTGAATTTGATCTCCAGAACCACAGTAAGAGTTGGAGGCAGATGGTGGTACACATCTTTGATCCTAGCACTCCGGAGGCAGAGGCAGGTAGATCTTTGAGTTTGAGGCCAGCCAGGTCTACAGAGCAAGTTCCAGGACAGCCAGGGCTACACTGAGAAAACTTATCTCCAACATACACACACAAACGAGAGAGAGGGAGGGGGGAGGGGAAGGGGAAGGGGAGGGGGAGGGGAGAGGGAGAGGGAGAGAGAGAGAGAGAAATAGGGGCAGTAATGTGTACTTATCATCTCAGATGTGCAGAGGGGGAGACAGGCACCTCCTTAAGGCTCACTGGCCAGCCAACCTAGCCCACTACTTGACAGCAAGCTCCAAGCCAGTGAGATACCTTGTTTCAAAAACAAGGTGGATAGTTCCTGAGGTTGACCTTTGGCCTATACAATCACAGTCAACATTGACTGGTTTTGGTCTGTTGTTTTGATTTTTGTTTTTTAAAGTGTTTTACTATGTAGTTCAAGTTGACTTTGAATTCAGTATTATTCTGTCTCAGCCTCCCAAATTCTGGAATTACAGGTATATACAACTATGCCTGGCTTGCCAACCTTATTCTTTGGTTTGTTTTTTAACTGTATATGTGTGTGTGCCTAAAATGTCCACAAAGACTAGAAGAGAGCATGAGATCCCCTGGAGCTGGAGTTCCAGGTAGTTATGAGCTGCCTGTTAAGGGTTCTGAGAACTGAACTCAGGTCTGCTCTAAGAGCAGAGATAATCTTGAACTACTGAGCCATCTCTCCAGCTCTGCTGTTGAACTAGATGAATGAAATTCATTTCTAACTGAAAATAAAAGAGACATCAGATATTTAATTCAATTACCATCCGTCCACCTACCCATATATTTTTAAAATGATAAATCATTAAAAGTAATCTGAAGCTATTTCAATTAAAAAAAATCTTTTCAAACTTTTTTTCCACCTTAGTTTTGAGCAAGGGTCCATCAAAAGGAAATGGTGGTTCAAAGTTTCTATGAGGACAATGTCCAATTCTGTATCACTAAGCTCCTTTCTTTGGATAGACCTTCACCAAATACCATATTTCCCACCAGAGCACAGATAGTAAAGATGAAGAGCACTGTGATACAGTTGCACAAACTAACCCTAATTTAGTCATGACACAACTGAAAAAGAGCCAATTAGACAGACAGTGTTAGAGCAATATTTAACAAGAATGTGAACCAGTGAGCCAATCTAGTATTCTGGGCACTCTTGTTTCAAACAAAAAACAGAAATGCTTTCAGTGTTTCAAAAACAATCCACAGTCATGCATTGCAGAATTCCAAGTGTATAGCTGATCCTCTTAGAAGAACTTACAAAAACCAAGGCATTTTTCCATAGGCAACTTAACATTAAAGACCTCAGGAAGCAAATAAACTGAGCCTTTACTTCCCAATTCATGCTCACTGTGACTGTTCTAAAAAAGACAGGGTGTCACTGTGTTGCTTATGCCAGCCTTGAACTCCTGGCTGAGTTCAGGCAATCCTCCTGCTTCACTGTCATTGGGTGTACACAGTCATAATTGCAGGATTCGTTGGTTTTTCAGAGGTGGAACCTCATGTTTGTAGCACCGGCTGACCTTGAGCTCAAGATCCTCTGGTCTCAGTCTACCAGTAACTAGGGCCATAGATATATGTATGCTATGGGGTCAGCTGCTACTGAACTGACACAAAAAACTTCATTTGAAATTTAGAAAGCCAGTGAGTTTTGCCAGCCACATATAACTTTGTATTTAAAACATGTAAATTGGGAAGTTTCTTCTGTTTTATTTCCACAGCTTCCTTTCTCATTACTGAAAAGAAGACAAGGAGTACTTTTTTGAGGCCCCAGCGATGCTTTTTCTTGTAAGACACTGGGAAAGGAATTGTCAGAGGCTTGGTTTTGACGCACAATGTGCTTTGTTCAGTTGGTGACTAGCACATCTGTCACGCTGCCACTGTGACTGTTCCTTCACATTTATCTGTCCCTGCTTCCTCTTGACTAGACTTGCACTCTTTCAGGAAAGAAGCCACAGCCTGCCCTTCTTTTCTATCTTGAAAACCTAGCACATTGTGAAGGAGTTATCCAATGACACCCTCCCTGCCATCCAGTGCTGACTAGTTTATGTCAAGTTGACCCAAGCTAAGTCATCTGAGAGGAAGGAACCTAAATTTAGAAAACGCCTCCATAAGATCAGCTTGTAGATAAGTCTGTAGGATATTTTGTTAATTAGTGATTGGTGGGGGAGGGTCCAGACCACTGTGGGTATGCCATTCCTGGGCTGTTGGTCCTGGACTCTGAAAGAAAGCAGACTGAGAAAGCCAGTAAGCAGCATCCCTCCATGGCCTCTGCATCAGCTCCCACCTCCAGGTTCCTACCCTGCTTGAGTTCCTGTCCTGACTTCCTTCAGTGATGGTACTCTGATATGTAAGTATAAGCCAAATAAACCCTTTCCTTCCCAACTTGTTCTTGGTCATGGTGTTTAATAGAAACCCTACCTAGGACACCCAAGAAGAATGTGAACAACTGAAAAATGAAACCTTCCTCACAGAATGCACACCAAACATAATCAGCAAGTATGCTACAACACCAGGTAATTATGACTTCCATTCACTGAATATGTCATCTGAAAAAAATACAGTAAGAGGGGAAGAGCTTTAAACTTTCTGAAAGAAAATTGGGCCAACTCTAGATTTCTTAGGTAAAACACTCTATTAACTCAATTTCGTAAGTATTGCGGTATCCCTGCTGTCAACAAGTGGCACATCACGGTGATACAGTTTTCATAGGTAGGTTCTAACTTCCTTGGTCAATGACATTACAAGTATGTATTTAAGTCTGAGAAAGTGACCTGGCTAAATATTTTATTTGAGGTGTTGTACCTATTCACTTCTAAGAACCCAACCACTAAAGGAGCCTAAAGTTATCAAGCTGAATGTTTATGGGATGGTTATGTCGACTGCAGATAAAAACATTATCTCAGACACACTACTGTCACTCTGCTCCAGTCCCTGCAGTCATGCATTTTTAGATACCCATCTCAAGTTTGCCTTCCAATGGAGAAACTGCTGGCTCTGGTTCTAAAGACAAATCTACCACCTCCTCAACAAAGGATATGAAGACAGCTAGCTGCCTTAAGATATTTCTGACAGCCTTAACTGGCAACAATTTGACTGCACCCTTGGTAGGCTAGCACTGCTTCAATTGTAGTCTATTAGGGACGCTGCTGTCCTGTCCCTACTACAGGGAAGCAGGCTTTCCTCACAGGAATTCTTGTATCTTTCTGCATCTTCTGCATCATACCAAACAGAGAGGCAGGTAATCTACCAGCTTCATCCTATTGCAAAGCTAAAATAAGGAACCAAAGAAATGGCGTCTGCTCTTGACTTTTCTGCAAAAGTAAATATTAAACATTCCCTGGAAATTGAGGGAGAAATAAGTCAATTAAAAAGTGTCTTGTTTTGAGTTGCCTCTGCAGGATAAAATTCATTCATTAAGGTTTCTTTTTGTTTGTTTTATTTATTTTTTTTTCTTATTATACATATTGATCTCCGTTCCCTCTCTTTCTCTCCCTCCTTCTCTCCCTCCCATGCTTCCCAACCACCCTCCCATTCCATCCCCCCCCCCCAACTCCACAGGGAGGGCGGTGCCTTCCAGGAGGGGTCAACAAAATCTGTCAAGTCATTTGGAGTAGATCATTAAGGTTTCTTTAAACCACTAATAAGCATTAGGCCCCTTCCACAACTACACATTTGCCCAATCCTTATGAAGCCAGAGTCTAGCTTTCACTTTGTTCACAAAGTTCACAAAGTACTAAATTAAAAGCCTCACTAGTTGCAATTATAGCAGATAGATCTCCAAGTTTTCAACATATTTTTAAACCAAGAAAGAAACTGGCAAGCACAGTCAAAAAGTAGAAAATATGCTTATTTCTATATGAATCTTTAATATTTTAGTAGCTAATAAAAATACATAGATTACTTTAAAGTAGCTATAAACTAATACAAGAAAATAGTTCCCTTAATATTCTTGGCTGTAACCCTAAACATCTGAGCAATTAAGAAATGTATGCAAGTCGAGGAGGGGCTTCAGCAGGGAAAGGAACTTCCAGCCTAGCCTCAGGACTCAGAGTTTTATCCTTGGGATTCACATGGTGGGAAGAGACCCAATTACAGCAATTGCTCCTCTGATAACCACACATAAATGAAATAAAAAATACTTATTTAAAAACAACTCCCAAATAACTAAAAACAGTAAGATAGTACAGAATTCGAATTTGATAAAGCTTAGCAGCATTACCTTTTTTGGCACTTTCAGGACCCGATTCATCGAAGCGAAACCTGACAATTCGGAAATCTTTACAATAAATTATTAACTCTGTTGGATTAAATTTCAGCTTCTGGTTGGGACCTAGGACTTTCTGCTTCCTCTTGTGGTCATTCACTGAAGAAGAAAAAATAGTGGGGTGGGAATGTGACAACGTTCATTCCTGATGCTCTTTAGATCCTTAAACAACTTTCCAGCAGTGACCAGCACTGAAGCACCACTCCTGGAGCACACCCCACTGCCGGAGCAGACCCCACTCCTGGAGCACACCCCACTCCTGGAGCAGACCCCACTCCTGGAGCAGACCCCACTCCTGGAGCACACCCCACTCCTGGAGCAGACCCCACTGCCGGAGCAAACCCCACTCCAGGAGCACACCCCACTGCCGGAGCACACTCCACTCCCGGAGCACACCCCACTGCCGGAGCACACTCCACTCCTGGAGCAGGCCCCACTCCAGGAGCAGATCCTATTGCTGGACACTACTTCCTGGCTTTTCATATCCACCTGTGGCTCCTAGAACTTTGGAGGGCTAGTTCTATGATTCTGGTGATATTTTAGAGGACCTTTGCAATGATACATTTAATGGTTGAATTTTTAATTAAAAAAAGACCACAACTTATAAATTAAAAAATCTTATCTCCATTTTACAAGAATTTCTTGACTTCTCTGTTGAGTTCTTGGGACTTACAAAGGAATAAATGTAAAATTAACTCTACAGAAATAAAGTTCCAACACAAATACTTGGGATGATGGCCCTTCAAGGAATACTTCAGGATTTCAATCAACTTTTAGAGACATTTCATTTTATGAAGTGGTCTCACTGTGCTTCCCAGGATAGCCTTGAGCTTGGCACTCAAGTGAGACTTCTGCCTCACCTCCTAAGTGCAGCCATCACATTCAGCTACAACTTTTAGAGAGAGCACCTGCAGAATACCACATACCTGTCACAATCTGCTCAATACATGTCAAAGGGACATCATGCTCTCCAAGAAGGAGGTTTCTGTAATGGAATTTCTGAAATGAAAAATGATATTCATGTGAATGAATTCTTTTCTCAATGGCCTCAAAACAGTAACAGCAAGCTTTGCCTTTAATGTGAAAAAAAAAAAAAAAAAACCCCACAAAAAAAAAAAAAAAAAAAAAAAAAAAAAAAAACAACAACAGTAATTGCCAAGGAACACAAAATCCTTTGCTATGCAACAAGGACCATCCATCCGAAGGGAATGGCATCAAACAGCATGCATTAGTAGGCAGTGGAGAGAGGATACATGTTTTGAGTTTTGGGACAGGGTTTCACTAGGTAGCCCAGGCTGACTTTTAGCTCCCTAAAACTCTTTAGCTGTGTGGATACCTGTGTGCTACGATTACAGGCATAGGTTACCACACCTTCTCCCCACACTTTTATTCTAACAAAAGGAAATTAATATATATGCCACAATGTTACTATAATATCTGAGAGATGTAATATGATCAATTCTTTATAGGCAAACAAGTGTATGCCTAGTTCTAGATGAATTGGCCATAAAATAAAAGAAAGAGGGATCTTGGGTCATCAGACTTTAATGAGTAAAATCATATCTGATTTTTATAACAGCTAGTGTGATAAGTGGCTATCTAGAACATAATGATCACTGCTGTTTTTTGTTGTTTTGTTATTTTTTTAAAAGTCTGTTTTGTTTAAAGACAGGGTCTGGCTCAGGTTCACCTTAAAACTGTGATTCTTCTGCCTCTTAGAAAAGGCTTTTGGGCTTGTGATGTAGATAGAAGCCCTGAGTCTGATTTCCAGCACTGCGTAATATTCTGGCAAGGTGGAACTCATCTGTAATCCCAAGATTTAGGAGGTAGAGGCAAGAGGATCAGAAGTTCAAGTTCATTCTCAACTACATGTGGAGTGTGAGGCCAGCCTGGCGTATCCCAGACCCTGTGAAAGGACAGAAGGGGGCAGAGAGAATGAAGGAGAACGCAGTAGAGAAGGCTTTTGGTGAGTGACAGCCCACTGTTCACACCTAGAAAATACTTCCCGATCATTTCCAAACTGAAACACAGCTGTCAGCAAGGCCCTGGTCTGCCACCGGTTCTGGACTTAAGGTTTCTCCTGCTCAGTATGTCTGGGTCAGAGAGCATTCAATGAAGCCAAAAACAAAGGGGAAACACAAGTGTGCTTGTCTCCCTGCTTTGTTAATGCCTTCAATTTAGTGTAAATATAATTCAGAAGATTAATGCACACAAGAATATGCAGAAAATATTGGAAATTAGTGAATGACTACATGAAATAAAATATACTTACACAAAGATCTCTCAAAGAAATGTTTGTGTTATTAAAGAAACAATTTAGTCAATATTTTTTCACTCTTACTATACACTAAAAAGTAGAATTCAAGTTTCTGGGAAAAGAGCTAATTAATTACAAAACAAACAAATAAATCAGTAAAATGTTTGACATTTATAATATTTAAGCTAAATAACTGAAATTTTCTCTTCATGATTAGTCAAAAAGAATATGTTTTTATAAACACATTTCTAAAAATGGAGGAAAGAAAATAACTCCCTTACTGAAGAGAATATAAGATCAGGATATTCCAAAGGATAAATGAAGCAGAGTTCTTAAAATCATCTCACTAAGCCTAGTGTGAGTTGTAACCAATCACTCAGGGAAGCAGAGGCAGGAAGATCAGGAGTTCAAAGCCAGCCTAAGTTGCACAGTGAGACTCTGGACTGGGGACTTAGCTCAATAGCAGAGCACATATAAAGAACTAGTTTGGTGTATAACATTACACCAAAAGAAAACAAACCAAAACTCACAAACTCCACTCACTATTCCTCAAGCAGGTTGTGACATTCTTCTCCACTTAATTTTGATTTTTAAAATTATTTTTGTTAGTTTTTGAGAATTGTGTACAATGTATTTTGATCCTATTCATCCCCTCCCAACTCTTCCCAGATCTACCACCCCTTACACACACATATGTCCTCTTTTTTAAGTCTATCAACTCTTATAGAGTATATTTTCAATATCATCAATTTACTGATAATTTTTCACAATTTCCCATATCTCTTATTTACATAACAATATATTCTGCTTAGAGTTAAGGCCTTAACAAAACTAAACAGTATACAAATAAATACCTGTAATGGCATTGGATCATCTGTAATGAAGGAGATTTTGAAGTTACTGCATATCAACTTTCCCCACAAATCATACTGGCTTGTGTCTGTTGCAATGCATTTTCTCACAAAATTGACTTCATTTACAACAATTTCTCCTAAAAAAGAAAAAAAGAAAGAAAGAAAAGGAAAGAAAAATCACAGTGAGCCACAAATATGCCAAGAAAACCCAAACCACTGTGTGCCCTTGCTGGAGGACTTCATGACTGGTGGCATTTGAAGGAGTTGTGAAGAGGAGCGGCCCCTGGCTGTTGGCATTCGTGGGCATCGGGAGTGCTTTGTGTCCTTGATGGGTATGGTATAGAATGAGTCCAAGAAGCTCTGGAGTTTGAGATGACTGAGCCAGCAGATAAAACTGCTTTAAATATACTCCAAATTGTAACTGAGTAAACAATAAAACTTTAACATAAAGTTGGGTTAGAAGGGGGGGATTAGAAAAAGCAAATTTGGAAACACCTACAGAAGCAATTTCTCAAAAAGGAATTGAAAGCTTGGACAGGCACATTTTAAGTGTCATGGCAGGGAATCAAGATACTTACACCTCCTATTACCTGAAAACTGTTTTCATAGTGATGACCAGAACCTCTTGCTGACAATCCATAACACCTATCTCATGAAGAATGGAACTTTAGTTTCAACAGTCTTCTCTAACAAAAATGTTAACAATAAATCTGAGTGATGATAAATAAATTTTACTCAACAATCCTAAAAATTCATGAGGCTAATTTTAAGAACAACCCCTAATATTTATCTGAGGATTTAATTCATATGCTCATGTCAAATTCCTGGCTCAAATCACTTGAGAAAATTTCCATCCTGAATACAAGCCTCTTTCACATGGGCTTAAGGCCCTGAATGCCAACTCCTGCTCAGCTGTCTTCCTCATCCTCTCCAATTTACCCACAATGGCCTTCTATGAATCCCTTTTGTATACCACACTGCTTCCATTTATGGGTCTTTGAACATGCCCCTCTCTCTTGGAAGATTTTTTTTTTTCTTTGAGACAGTGGCTATGCTCAAGAATGCTTAAAATAATCTCCCTGCCTAGATAAATCTCCCTTATCACAGAACCATAGACTTGCAATTTCAGTGCTCATCACAGCTATAATTTGATCACGTTTGCTTTTTAAGTAAATTCTTGCCTCCCCAGCTAGGAGTATACATCCAATGGTGGCAGAAAACAGACTTTTTGTTCAGTGCTGAAATTTTAGTGCATAGGACAGTACCAAGTATATGGTAGGTGGATACAAAGAAAGTGCTGAATAAAGTCCTTGGTTTACTGAAAAGGAATAAAACCAGTGATATGAGTGGAAAGCAAAGCAAATGACTGAATCAGATGTGGTGCTGTAACCCAGTACTTCGGAGGCAGAGGCAGAAGGACCCAGAGTACAAGATCAGCCTGAATACACGGTGAGACTGTCCCTAAAATGCAATAGCTGGGGACACAGCTCGGTGTTAGAGCATACACAAAGACCCTAGGTTAGATCAACAACAAAACAAACCAACCAATAAACCAGCTCATCAACTCTATTCCTCTAGAAAGCCCAACATTCTGTAGCTTAGTTTTTAATGTGAGTAGGTGATACTCCCAACAGAAAACCAGCAGCAGCAGAACTCAAGCGGCTCTGAGCAGTGCTGAAACCAGTCATTCAATCTGGTCAAGTACTCTGTTGAGTTGAAAGATGAGGACCGTGTGGGTACACACAGGCAGAATGTAATCACAGAACTGCACAGCTGTCCTTTGACACACAGAGAACAGTATAATTTGGGATTGGTGGCTTCTCGGTGCTTGTCCTGACTGATTCTTTAGAGAGTATACATGAGAAGAAGGCAGACGATTTCTCTATGACAGAGATGAGGGAGTTGGCACCAAAAAAAGGTTAAATCAATTCCATGCTCTAAGACTTTAAAAACAGAAATAAATGTGAAATGTATTAAGTGTCCCCCAACACCCATGGGGGATCGATTCCCAGACCCTATGAATGGATGCTAAAGTTCCTTATGAATAACAGTGGGACATTTCACATTCAATATTTGGAGCATCTTCAATGGCTTGAAGTACCTAATACAATGAAAATGCTTGTGTCACTGCATGGTATTGCTCAGGGAGTAAGGACAAGAACAAAACTCTGTGTGTTCGCTACCATGTTTTTAGAAGATTTGCCATCAAGAGTTGGCAATCCAGGAATGTGGAACCCAGCCACAAAGGCCTTCTGTCCCCGTTTCTACATACTTTCATTAATGTAAATATGTTATAGTGACACAGAACAAGTAGCAACATTGAATTAAAGATTCATAATGTTGTCCCTAATTGCATTCTAATGAGAAACAAATGACATTATCTACAGTTCCTTCCATGAGAGTTTACCAACTGCCTTATCACAATCTAAGATACTGAATAATCAACTTTTGTCCCCTTTGTTCTCAATTATATGACTAAAATAACTGAACTAATTTCCACTACAGACAGAAAATATCTTCCTGTACAGTAACCAAATCTTTATGCTTAACCTCATATTGTGCCACCCCAACCAATTTATTTGAAAAAGGACTCTCAAAACAATGCTACAGAAAGTGACAAGCTGCACCATTCATAATTCATTCATACTTGTATGTAGTTATACTCAAAAACCACCTAATAACAAGCAAGTCAAGTCACACTGTAGGATTTCTTGGGAAGGGGCAGAGACAATCATAGTAAGAAAAGAATAAAGGGCTGCAGGACTAGGACACTGTGGCTATGCTAGTACCATCTGCCAATTTTATCTCTATTTCCATTTCTACCTATCTACCTACCTGACTATCTCTTACCCAATCACCCACCTATCTCTCCCAACCCCCACAACAGCCCTTCTCTAGCAATTGGACTCTCACCAATGCAGCCAGGAGTAAAACATCCAGCCTTTGAATTTAGTGAGGATGAGACAAAGGAAGGGGGAGGGATGCATATAGGGCTCCTTGGGATGGTAAACCACAGTTCCTTGCTTTATAAAAAAAGTTTTATTCTTGTGCTGCTTTTGGCTGCTTCACAGGACAAAGGCAAAACAGTACTTATAACACAGACCTGGCCCACAACACCTACAACATTCACTATATGGCACTTCATGGAAAGTGTGCTGACCCCTGCATTACAGATGACTACCTAAACATGACAACTCTTAAATTACCTTAAACAAAGCTTAGATGTGTTCAGTGCTCCTGTCTGAAGGCAGGTGCATGTGCAATGCTGCAGCGATCTAAGGGTTCCAGGAGGCACACTCAGTGCCAGGATGAATACAGAAACCTGCTCAAGACTACTCTCACCAATGAGCTGCAGCTGTCAACAGTGCCTGCTCCTAAAGTTTCAAAAGAGGGGCGGGGTGTTCTTAGTTGCTATCATAAAAACAGCCTTGCTTACAGGCTGGGAAGAAAGAGTTCACAAAGCAACCTCTTCTCACATTGACTTATGAAGAGTATCCATGCAAGAAGCACATTTTCATCTTCACACTTAAATTAGTGGGTCTTTGGTATGTAATTTTTTTATTTATCTCTGATGTTTTTTATAATAAATTAAAAAAAAGTAATTAGTGATCTTGAGGGGAAAACTCCTACTAAAAGCTGCAAAATTCCAGAGGCCATGGACTTTCCTAGAGACAGCTCCTATACTAGCTCTGCTATGAGAGGTGGTGTGCTAGGGATGGCTCACACTGGCTCCCATCACTTCTCCAACTCCCTACTCAGCCACAGAGAAACAGTACACATCACCAAGCACTTTCCAGAACTTTGGGAAGTAACAGAGTACACATGACAAGCAATAGGAAACTGGCTTCAATATGGACGGAGTAAGCAAAAGCATGCTAGCAAAACTTTGTAAATTAGGAGCTAGCTGAGAGTTTGTACCAAGGCCTGGGAGGGAACTAAGCAATCACTGAAGTTTTCTCAAAACCCTTCTACCTGGAAAGAAAAATGAGAAAAGAAATGTAAAGAGAACGTCTCTAAATGGTATAGGGAGGGTAAATTTTAATCTCCTAGGATGACAAAAAAAAAAAATGTACATGTTATCTTTAATGCCCCATGGAATTAGAAAGTCAATACATATTTGGTAAACAGAAATAATTTTTCCCATAAATTTCAGTTTGGAAAATAATCCAGGGCAAAGTCTTCTGTAATTCAACACATGGCTTGAAACAGGGGGAACCAGTCCAGTTTACCTGATACAAGAAGCCTTCCCTGGGCAAGCACTCAAGAATAGTATAGGGTAAGCTGTCAATGATTCACCCTAATTTTAAGAGTTGTAACTGCAAGTCTGAGGTATGTATTAGATAAACAACATGTGTGGTGCTGCCCCTGGTGGTGACTGTGCAGGTCATACACAGACACAAAAAGCCTGTCATCGAAGTACTACATCCAGTAAGTGCAGTCAGTGCCCACAGGGGCAGGACCACTGCTATAGTGCAGGTCTCAGGAAAGGACCAGAGTGGAATAAGGAACACAAAAGGCAGTGACAGTAGAGAATGTGTGGCAACAGTGACAAAGACCCACATAATGAGCAAAGAGCCTGGAATCACACAAGTTAGTAAGGCAGACAGAATGTTAGCAAATCTACAGTAAAGACCTCAGAGTTTATCCTGCTCAAGTAGGAGCTTATTTAAGTTCAGAGAGCTTTTAAGCACCAGTGGAAAGACTGATGTGACAGCATCATGCTGATCTGTAGCAGGAGCGTGAAAAATGCACTGCTGTACATTGTGAAGGCTCTAGGTAAGCTCAAGTCTAATGCTAAAGTCTGCAGTTGGTTACACTCTTCACAGGTCCAAGAGCATGCTACCAGCACATCTGTGAAATACTACAAAACTCAGCCTAAGTCATCTAGGGAGCCATCTTCAAATGGGCATCACATGAGCCCTTTAAAAGGCAGTTTTGTTTTCTGTTTTACAAGCAAGTGATACACAACCCAACTGAGGATATGAGATGTAGGTTGAGGCAGAAGAAAAGAACAATATATAAATGGTACAAACAATGAATACATAACAAATAAATAAAGACCGCTATGCACCAATGCTGCAGTCTTTTTCCAGAGGGTCTGTGGATATATACTTCCCAGATGTGACCACGAGAGATC